CCTTCCTCCAACACGGAATGGAGTATACCTACAGAGAAAGAGGCACCGGTTATAAATCTGATAAAAATGTGGATGTTACAGGAAGACAATCAAACATATTGACAGAATAAAACTGCAAGAACATGTGTGACTCACCACTTGCTGTGACTGAAGGTTTGAAACCTCTCAGCATGACAGTGAACTCATTGGAGAACTTGTTGTAGAACCGATCCATGAATATGTTCTCCACACGGCCGTTCTCAAACAGGTACTACAGAGTGGCAAATGGTTAAAGGTCAGAATGAAGAAGGAAAATAGCCGTCATTTATTTCACTATCGTATATTTAGTTTTTAGATGCGTGAAGCACAAGGCATCCAATCAAATGTGTATAGTGGTATGGCTGACTGCATAATGGGGATGGTTCAGACATGTATGTTTCTCTCCATTAGGGGTGGCTCCGCTTTAGGCGCCCTGTGATGACGTGTTTCCACTGTGCTACTGTGGTCCTGTATTACAACAGGGCCGACCACAACCAACCAACGTCTCCTCCTCTCAGCAGCTAAACTCGTGTGTCTGTGCTAGAGAGAAAGCTCAGTGTTCAGCTTGCTTCACTTTTGTAGATTCTTCCTGAATTTCTGTGGTTTGAAGTTCAGTTTCANNCACAAAATGTATCTCTCAGTCATCGAGCTGCCATGCAAGACACTGGCCTGCCTATGGAAGCACCTTGGAGGTTCAGTGTCTTGTTTGAGGACACTTTGACAAAGTGATACAAAGGTTGAACCACCTGCGATTAATAGACCCGCTCTACCTCCCGAGCCACAGTGTGTAGTGTTACTGCTAGTGCAAACCTTTCTGCTATGTTTCTTCACAACACTTTTATTGTGAAGACGTTACAGGAAATTCTAATTGTTTTTTTTTTTTAGAAAGTTAGCAGAGCTTTGATAGAGCTTCAAATCAACCAGATATGAATATATTCTGCGCTATTTGGTGAGTGGATCAGTTTTAACACTGCAGGGAGGACTAATACAAAAACAAACAGCCACAGTAAGCTGAGAAAGTCGACTTCACTGTTGGTCCTACCAGTTATTTATTACCTGTTATATGTCAAGTGTATGTGTGTGAAAAACGTCCTACCTGTTGAATGCCGAGGCAGAGGTAAAACAGGGTGTCGGGGGGGGGGAGTACGGCTCTCCATTTGGTCGTTTCACCTCACTGATGAAGCAACAGAGTCCATAACTCAGCTCAGCAGTGGTGCACCGGAGAACATCCTCCTTCAACTCCATGGGACGTGCTGAAATCAAGATATGAGTCCACAATAATCAGGTTAAAAATATACAATACAAAACATTCAACACACACAAACCATGGGCTTGTGTTTTCATCTCTTTATGGCTCAGTGGGTTTGCTTTTCCCTGAATCCATTTTCCTAGTAAATAGTGTTTGTATTTACTGTAAATCCAAACTTACAACCGAAGCGTGGCTTCTCCAAATTGGGTTGAGTTTGCCTCCACTGGATCCATCGCTTCCAGGCATCAACTCCATATTGACTCTTCAGCTTTGGGAAGTCTACAGCTTTGGCCTTTGAAAGGCCTTTTTGAGATGAGGCTTCAGCTTTAGTAGGCCGCAGTGACTTACGACCCTTGGACAGTGGGAGAGAAAGAGAGGATCATGGATACGATTGGGTTGAGACAAAGACACCAAAGACAATCCCCTCACATTCCCAGTGTCCTAACCACAAAGTTATCTGATCTAGTTTTAAATGCACAAACAGCATCTTTTTCTCATTTCCCAGGTAGTTACTTTTTTTTCTCGGGCTTTCCTGTGAGCTTGTCGCCGTCGTGGAGCAGCAGGCGGAGGGCTCGGGGACCGCTGGGTCTGGTCTCT